ACATTTACTGGACTGCAGTATAGTGTAAACTTGACTTTTATATGTACTGGGAAACCAAAAAATTTATTTGATGCTCTCTGTTGTGAAATGCCCTTTATTGTGGTGGTCTGGAACCAATCCAGCAACCTGCCAAGGTGTGCCTGTAGTAAACACTCAGTAAATGGTCTATATCAAACAGCTGTGTAAGCAGGGCCTAATGAAAGTGATAATATTCATTCGTCCCTAGATTTAGATGTCTCACATCCCAGGAGACTGAGCAGATTCCACTATCACAAAAGAGTCACGGTTGAAATGCTCAAGAAAAGAATGTAAGAGGTGTTGGCAAGTTTTCCAAACATAAACCAGGTAGGCTATGAGATGTGTAGATTGGGAAGTCTGGCTTCAAGGCACAGCACAATTCGGGAACAGTAAATTAAGCAGATGGTTTGTGATCGTTTAGTAAAGACCGTAGTGGTTGCTAGGAGCCACCATGGGTTTACTAAGAACAAATCTTCCCAAACGTTCCATTTCCCTTTTAAATAGTATTACGTGGTGTGTAAAACTGAGGAATGTCATTTCAGCAAGGAATCTAATTGTTTCCTTATGGATAGGTTGTAAAACATAGGCTAGATGATAGCCCTGCTGGGCTTTTACAGCATGACAGCAGTCAAAGCCAGCTGATTCATGTCATGGGTTATCTTGATGAGGGTCTCTGGCGTGATATCAGAGCCCAGCTCTGACTTGCAACCTTCCCACTTAAGACTTTAGGAGTTTGGATCCAGACATATCGGGATGGATGTGTACCAAGCAAATATGTAGATCGCCCGAAGTTGAGGAGGGTAGTAAACATAATAGACGAGAGGATACAAATTCAGAATATTCTTGATCATTTGAAGCACTCCATTGAACCTCAAAAGATTGAATTTAATGAAGCTGAAGGTGAAAACTTTAAGCTCAAAAGCTCAAGATTGAGTAAGAAAGGAGATTTTGTTTGGTAGAAGTTCAGATAAAACTGATCTGGTCATTTAATTGACCCAACACTTAATATTTATTCATTCATTCATTGATTCATTCAACAAATACATATTGAAAATACTACCTGCTGTTTACTTTTCTTGGCATTAGGGAGATGGTAGTGAACAAAGCAGTTAATACCCCTGTGGAGCGTATATTCTTTATATGCCAACAGTTGTGCAGCTGCTTAAAAAAAAAAAAAAACAGAACCCGGAGAGCCTAGGTGGCTCAGTGGGTGAAGCATCCCACTTTGGCTCAGGTCATAATCTCGTGGTCCGTGAGTTTGAACCCTGCATTGGGCTCTGTGCTGACAGCTTAGAGCCTGGAGCCTGCTTCGGATTCTATGTCTCCTCTCTCTCTCTGTCTCTCCCTTGCTTGTGCTCTCTCTTTCTCTCTCAAAAGTAAGTAAATAAACGTTAAAAAATTGTAATGAACCTAATATTAGGCTTTATTTGCAAAAGTATAACATCCACTCTCAATGGTTACTAGTTCACATCTCTTACTTAATACCGTGTTCTTGGTGCTAGAATTTACACTGGGATGACTGCTCTCAGGTCTGGAAAAGTGAGAGTGGCCATAGCATGATGATTGGAAAATAAACCACGTTGGAGGATGATTGGTCGGCCATAGGAAGAGAACAGTAGGCAGATGTTCTATCCCTCAGATATTTGTAGGAGTAGGAGACAAGGGTCTAAGCTTGTTCTCTGTTGCTCCCAGGAGTCCCTAGTAATTACAAGGAGGCTGGTTTCTGGTAAATATAAGGAAGGTTGCCTGTGAAGTGTCCTTGCTGCAGCTGGAAGCCCGCCCGTGTGAGCTCCATGCAGGCTGACCTGGCATTCTTGGGACTCCTCATGCTGCACCTGGTCCCTGGTGGGTACCCAGACATGTGTGCATGGATGTTCCTATGGCATTTGCGAAGGCCACCTAGTCCTAAAACAATGTTAAAATCTATTTATTTTGAGAGAGAGAGAGAGATAGAGAATGCACAAGTAGGGGAGGGGCAGAGAGAGAAAGAGAGAGAATCTCAAGGAGGCTCCATGCTGTCAGTGCAGAGCCCGACATGGTACTCGAACCCACGAACTGTGAGATCATGACCTGAGCCAAAACCAAGAGTCAGATACTTAACTGACTGAGCCACCCAGGTGCCCCAGCCTTAAAATCTTGAGCTCAATTTTTGTAGATTTTAAGAGTCTGAGGGTGGCATAAAATACCTAAGCACAACTGTTGGGAGCCAGAATGTTTTCTTCTATCATGTCTTCATATCTACAAGTTAGTTAAACCACTTTCTTAAGAGACATTTAAGAGGCCATTCGAGGATTTCTTTGAAATTTCTGAAGTATGTTTATTCAAACATCATCCATCCAGCCCAGTGCCCGTCCATTCTGAGGCCTTCTCTGTAATTCTGGCCCCTCCAGGGCCTCGCTTTTTCTGAACCTAATGGTGATACTATAGAGTTTGCCTCTTAATTTTTTTCTCACTGCTTTCGTGGGTGTCTCCAGCTAGGTGATAAGTTTTTGAGAGCAAAATCTCATTTTGTATTTTTCTTGTGTTCTTCCAGGAACATAGAAGCAACTCAGTAAATGACATTTGCTTGACTACTTGATTCATTAGTTGAGGGGGGATAGCCAGGACCCGTATCATTCCGGCCACTGCAAGAGCTCATGTAAGACATGGCAGGTTAAGTACACTTTAATTTCTCCATCCCTTGCCTCCAAAGAAGGGATTATATTCTTAATTTATGAGAGTCTTCTATTCTGGCGGGGCAAGCACTTTGTGCATAGTTGATCCTTTGTATATAGTTGAATTTGTATTAATGGCTGTACTCCAGGACTCAAACAGCCTCCTTGGCTCAACCTCTGAGAGAGGGTAGAACGGCAGGTACAAATCTCTAAGCTCAGTTTAGAGGCTCATTGACTGTGATTCATGTAACTAGGGTGGCCAGATTTAGCACATGAAAATGGAGGGTGCCCGATCACATTTGAATTTCAGATAAACAACAATGCGATATTCGGGACAGACTTTCACTAAAAAGGTGGTTGTTGTTTATCTAGAATTAGACATACAGGATACCCTGAATTTTGTCTGGCACCCTTTCACATGAACCCTATTATTTCATTTTCTCATTGGTCTGAGCTCTTACTTAACCCCCCGCCCCCCCAGTTAACTTCACTGAAAGACAATGTTTGTGCCCCTGTGAATGATTCTAACTGCGAATTTTTAAAAATTTAAAAATTGGGAAAAACTCATATGCTGTATACTTTTTTTGTGGTCATAATTCTTTCAGAAGACCCATTAATGATAATTCCACAAACATCTGGGATCTCAGCAGTCCTCACTTAATGTGTTGTGGTTTCCTTGGTAGCATAGTTTACTTGGTTCCTATAATATACTGTGATCTTATTGTGCTCAGGTATCAAAGTAGCCACTGCTAAGAAATAAATAGCAGGCTGGAGCTCTATGCGCTGTATGCGGATGAAATGTGAATTTCGTGCATTGCCGTCTTGGCTTCTGCGAACGAGCAACTGCGTTGACTAAGCAGAGCTGTAGAAATCAAAGCAAAACATTGCCACCCTCAGTTAACTTTTTTGTTCTCTTTGTTCATCTGCTCAGAGGGAAGATCATATTCTGGTTTGTTCCACCTAATAAGCTTCTTTTTGAGGGAAAGTCATCTCACACTTAGGAAAATGGCCTCCATTTCCCCTAAGTTAATAATGATTCTCGCTGGTTAGTAGGGACAACCTTCATGTATTGGTCATTCATCCAGAAGACGTTTATTAAGCAGACGATGCTAGGTATGAGGGGGGAACAAAATAAGTGAGACGTGGTCCCTGCTTTCAGGGGCTCAGGGGAATCTGCACATGAAATGCTTGCTTTTAAATGGCTCGGCAGTCATTTAAGTGAAAGGCTTGTGGTAAGAGTTCATTAGCTCATAGAATAATGAAATGATTCTTCTCTCAAATGCTTTAAGTAAATAGCAAGCCTTATAGTCTGAGCAACAGCTACTCTTAATGGATATTTCCAGGGACTGGCCTTAGGCTGTTTCCTTCTCTCTTGGTTCTGTGGTTAGGACTTTGCTACCCGGACCAGGGACTTGTCAGAAATGCAGACCCACAGGCCCGCCCCGCACCCACCGAATCAGAATGCGCAGTGTAGCCAGAATCCCAGGTGATTCGCTGAAGCTTGAGAAGCACTGGTTGACTGCAGAATTTCTGCTTTGGGTATACAGATCATCTAAGGATCTTACTAAAAACACTTCCTGGCCTCTGCCCTCAGGGATTCTGAATCTGTTGGGACCAGGGTGAAGCCTGAGAATTTGCATTTCTAACAGACTTCCAGGAGATGCTGGTTGCCGTGCTTGGGAACATTATTTTGATTAGCACCAGTCTAGTTAGCTTGGGGTGCTGGGTTGACCTTTGGTGATGGCGGTGACTAGAACCCACCCCAAGGAGGGGTCAGTCTGGTGTTCCTTTGCCTGCACTGGAGTCATGAACTTGACAGTGGATCTGTTCCCCGGCACATCTAGCCTGTGAGGGGGATGGGTTTGGTTTGCGCACAGTGACCTGTTGAGGCCAGTGTGTGAGGGCCGCTGTGGGACTGTGGAAGAGGGAGCGGTTACACGCCCCATGGGGGCTCAGCCGGATGAGGTGGGCCCTGAAAGGTAAGGGGATGTTTACAGGTTTGGCCCATTGCTGGGATTCACATGAAGGAATGCAGGGAGACTGGGATGTACATGCCGAAACAACCATAAATCCGCAGTCACCACCTTGTAAATAGCACCTCAGGGATGAAGGGGAGCAGAGAGCAGGAGAGCCATATCGGGAAATAGGTCTGGAAGGAAGCTTGGGGACAAGATTGTGAAGAGTCTCAAAAGTCACTTTATGGAATTTGGATTCGGTCTTAGAAGTTTTTGCTCTAATGATGTCTGTTTTTTAAAGTTTTCGTGTCTAATTATACTCACTCTTCTGTATGTGTGTGTGTGTATGTGTGTGTGCTTTTTTCTCTTTCAGGATCAAGCATGAAAACATCGTTGCCCTGGAAGACATTTACGAAAGCCCAAATCACTTGTACTTGGTCATGCAGCTGTAAGTACCGTATCCGCCTGAGGAGCGCAGAAGGGACTGGGAGTGGGGATCGCCAACTCAGATGTCCGAGGGGCCACGGGGTGGTGAAAGAAACGGAGGTGGCAGGCCAGCTGAGCCGTGGGAGTGGGAACAGACACACGGGGGAGGTGTGTGACCCATCTAGACAGGGGTCTGCGGGCCTCACTGGGTCTTATCTGCGCCAGACCGACGACCTCTCATCCTCACAGGGGAAGCCATACTCAGGATGTCTCTTTTGCTTTTTAACGTGCGGGGTCCAAATGTTGCTTCCTGGAAACACTCCAGTGGGTGCACCACGAAGTACACTCTGCTCCCGTCTCTAGGAGAAACTCCCACCTTGTCTTCATTTCGAGGGATGCTGGGGGAGGGCAGCAGATGGTAGATGTGGGCTCCGTTCCTCCATCTACACTGCCGGCAGATAAATGCACATGTGACTGAACTGGCCTCCTGCCAGGCGTTAAGACAAGTACAGTGGGGTCAGACTGCAACGTTGTCACCCCCAGCAGATTATTTCTGCATTCCAGTAACGCTTGAGATTACCAGAAGAGGGAAGAAATCAGAAAGCCGAATATTCGGGCTGAAACTTGACTCATGCATGTAAGCCCTGTGTAAAAGTTAACATGTAAACTGTTAAATGAAATTAGCCTCCCGACCAGTAGGCTTTTTTTCTTTTTTTCTTTTCTTTTTTTTTTTTTGTATGAACGTTTTTATAGGACATTGGAGGACATTTTTTGAAGTATCCAGACTGGAAGCATATGGACGATTTTTCTCTGTCCAGTGACCGTCCTGCATGGTTACCAGAAGTTTTACAGTCAGCCACGAGGCTGGCGGTTTAAGCAGCTCTGACTGCTGGTTCCTCATTAATTCCCAATTACCTAAATGCACTCTTTCCTGGTTCCTTGCTGTTCCGTTGGCTTTATAATTTGCCACATTCTGGTTCTTCCTTGAGAGCAATGGCTCTCCCCAGATTCGGGGTACTCCCTAGAAGCTCATGTGACTGTGTTTGGTAGAGTGTTCAAAAACAAAATTCACCTGAGCAAATTTGAAGATCTGGTTGGCTTTATCAAATGATTCGTGAGTTGGGCAGCGTCCCATCAAGCAAGTAAAGGGAAGCTCCGCTGAGCTTAACAGAAGGAAGGTTTTTGAAGGCAGAGGGAGGGCACTAAAAGAGAGCAAGAAAGAAATTTCTTAACAAGGAATGCATTGTATAGGCAAGGTTGCCCTCTTAAGGGGAGTAAAAGGGATCCATCAGTAAATTTCCTAGAATTGACCAGGAAATCCTATATTGACTAATTAAAAGTTACGCTTCTAGGAGGCTGAAACTGTGGTGAGTTTAGGTCTTAAGTCTTAGTTTGTTGACTTGGGGCTTTAACCTAAGTGGGCCCATTTTGGGGCTGTGGTTTTCTTTTTTTACCAATACAGGCTGTTCTTACAAAAGCAGGTGAACCACTTTTCCACCAAATATTGACTTCCCGGTAGAAAGAATATGACATTTTAGTGACAAGATTAAGGCCCACAAAATGTCAGTAGTATATTTCAATGTGTGCTTTTTTTATCAGTGATGCAAAAGAAGAAAAAGAAAAGGCATTAATACTTGAAACCAAAGCTATATGTGTTCACTTGCTTTAAGTTCTCTATGGATCTGTCACTAAATAAATCGGTTGAAAGTGTCCCCCTTATGTAAATCTCAGTTCTGCCTCTTCCTAGCTGGGTGCGTTTGGGCAAATACCTGGGCCTCTCTGAGTATCCATTTCCTTAGTGGGGAGAAATAGTAATATTTACATAATAACAACAATATTTACATTGGAAGGTTATAGCGAGTCCTGAATGAGAAAAATGTGTGGGAAATAAATAGTGCCATAAATAGCAGGGCCTCCATACAGACTCTTTCTTTGTGGACATCTGTATCATTTCATCTGTATCTCTACAGATGGTCTTTCATTTTACGAGATGAAGTTCAAGTAGATTTAAGTTCTAACTTTCGAAGCAACTTGACTGTATGCTTACCAGCAGAAGTTTATGTAGATAGGTTGGCATGAGAGCATAAAAGTGTCTGCAAGGGGAATGAACCTTAGAACAAAGTTTGGAAGTCTTCCTGGGGACACAGCTGTCCCACCCCTTCACTGAGCTTTGCCATCAGGGATTTATCCTCTCTTTTGCAATCGTCCTAAAACATCTTTGACATGGATCCCATTTGTTCAGAATTTGTAATTAGACAGAGAAGGTGGCCTAGACTTAACTGTTGGGGGTACCATATGAGGTTTGTCAGGCAAATTTGTTACAGAATCAGTGGGAAGGGATGTTTGAAGTGCCTAAGGAGAACACTATTTATGTGCACATGCACCACTGAGAGGTTTAGAGGCGCTATTTATACAAACATTGGATTTGCTGGTTGTGAGCTGTTTACTTGTATATAAATTCTGTTCCCATTGGTTCTCATTACTTTTTGAAGGTCAACTTTGTTGAGACAGAACTTACACCTAATCAACTGCACCCATTTAAACTGAACAATTCAGTGATGAATGTGAGAGTGAATCGTACTCCTGAAACCACCACCACCATCAAGAACGGAAAATTTCCGTTACCCCAGATATCCCTTTGATGGGCTCCCTTCCTTAGCCCCAACCCTAGAGGCAACCACTAACACTCATTAGAGATTATTTTGCATTTTCTAAAATATTATGTCAACGAAATTATACAGCGGTGCATCTTGTGTCTGGCTTATTTCACTCATCGTACCTCTTGACATTCGGTCATATGGTAGCGTGGTCAGTACTTTGTTCCTTTTCACTGCTGAGTAGCATTCTGTCATCACAGATGTTCCACATTTTATCCATTTATTATTGCTAGACACTTGGATTATTATAGACACAGCCTTGGTGTGGATATATGTTTGGGTGAGGACCTAGGAGCAGAATGAGTGGGCCATATAGTAGGTGTTAGATTGAACTTTTTTGAGAAACTGCCCGTTCTCTAAAGTGGGTTTACCTTTTTACATTTTTATCAACAGTGTATGTAAGTTCTCGTTACTCTATATTCTTATCAATATTTGCTACTTTGGTTTTTCAATTTTAGCCATTCTTATGGGTAGACACCCATGGGTGTGTGCATTTCCCTGCTGATGAATTATGATGATCATCTTTTTGTATCCTGATTGGCCGTTTGCTTATCTTCTTGAGTAAACTGCCTCTTCAAATCTTTTGCTCACTTTTTATTGGCTTGTTTATCATGATATTGTTGGGTTCTAAGTGTTCTTTATATATTCTGTCTTTTGTCAGATATATGTCATACAAATTTTTCTCCCATTCTATAGCTTGCTTTTTTTTTTTTTTTTTTTTTTTTGTCGTTTTCTTAATGGTGCCTTTTTAAAAACTAGCTTTACTGAGATATAATTCACATACCGAACAATTCATGCATTTAAAGTATACAGTGGTTTTGTTTTAGTCACAAGGTTGTACAACCATCACACAATCTAATTTTAGAACATCTTATGTTCTAAAGGAGAACATGTAAGGGGTGCCTGGGTGGCTCAGTCAGTTAAACATCAGACTCTTGATTTCAGCTCACATCATGATCTCATGGTTCGTGTCGAGCCCTGCATCGGGCTCCATGCTGACAGGGAGGAACCTGCTTCGGATTCTCTCTCTCTCTCTTTCTCTGTCCCTGCCCTGCTCGTGCGCTCTCTCTCTCAAACTAAAGAAATAAATATTAAGGAGAACACCTAAAAGAGATCCATACCCATTAGCGGTTACTCTCAGGTCTTCCCTTCCCAACCTCTCACTTTCTGTTTCTTTAGAATTGCCTATTCTCGATATTTCACATCAGTGGGATCATACAATGTGTGGTCTTTTGTGACTAGCTTCTTTCATGTGGCTTAATGTTTTCAGGATTTATCCATGTTGTAGCATGTGTTGATAGTTCAATTCCTTTTTATGGCCAAATAATATTCCATTATATGGATATATCCCATTTTATTTATTCATCGGTTGATGGACATTTAGGTTGTTTATACTTTCAGCTATTATAAATAAAGACGCTAGACATTTCCACGTACAAATTTTTGTGTGACCATATGTTTTCATTTCCCCTGGGTATATACCTAGGAGTGGGATGGCTGGGTCAAATGGTAACTCTGTGTTTACCATTTTGAGGAACTTCTGAACTGTGATCCAAAGTGACTGCCCCATTTTACAATCCCATGAGTACTATGTCAGGATTCCAGTGTCTCCACATCCTCTCCTGTACTTGTTTATTATTTGTCTTTTTGTTCATAGCCATGCTCGTGGGTGTGGAGTGATATCTCAGTGCAGTTTTGATTTACATTTCTCTGATGACTAGTGATGTTGATCATCTTTTCATGCACTTCTTGGACACTTGTATATCTCATTTAGAGAAACATCTGTTCAAATACCTCACACAGTTTGAAATTGGGTCATTTGGTTTTTGTTTTTGAGCTATAAAACTGCCTTATATATTCTAATATAAGTCCTTTATTAGACATATTATTTACAAATGTTTTCTCCTATCCTAAGCGCTGTCCTTTTATTTTCTCGGTGCCATCACTCGTAGCACCAAAGTTTTTAATGTTGACACAGTTCAGCTTATTTTTTTCTTTTGTCATTTATGCGTTCTGTGTCATACCCAAAAAACCAACACCTAATTCTTCATGACACCTTTTGAATAGGAAACGTTTTTTTTTTTTTTTTAATTTTTTTTTTTTTAATGTTTTATTTATTTTTGAGACAGAGAGAGACAGAGCATGAATGGTGGAGGGTCAGAGAGAGAGGGAGACACAGAATCTGAAACAGGCTCCAGGCTCGGAGCTGTCAGCCCAGAGCCTGACGCGGGGCTCGAACTCACGGACCGCGAGATCGTGACCTGGCTGAAGTCGGACGCTTAACCGACTGCGCCACCCAGGCGCCCCGAATAGGAAACGTTTTAATGGTGATAAAGTTCAACTCATCAGTTTATTTTCTCTTATG